TCTCTCTCTCTCTCTCTCTCTCTCTCTCTCTCTCTCTCTCTCTCTCTTTTTTTGAAGGAAAAAAAAAAGCTGAGGCTTCCTTTTGGACAGTTAAGGAGGTAGATCTCTTCAGGAACATTCAACCCTGGGAAGCCCTGAAGCTTGAGGAGAGAGATTTTATAGCACATGTTCTGGCTTTTAGCAGGTGATAGCATAATACGTGAAAAATTGGTGAAGCAATTTAGCCAAGAAATTCAAATTACAGAAGCCCACTGTTTCTATGGATTCCAAATTGCCATAGGAAAAATACATTCTGTAATGTACAGTTTCCTTATTGTCACATTAAAAATTCCAAAGAAAAAGAATTTATCTTCAATGGCACTGAAATGATGCCTTGTGTGAAGAAGAAAACAGATTTGGAATCAGGATAAAAAGTCTATTTGTGGAGAGCATGATGTAGCCTTTGCTAATGTGGAAGAAATCTTCCTTTCTGGTTCTTTTGCATCAATATATTCTGGCTTAAGAAATGATGGCTGATGCCTGGTCTCACATTTTCCAGTGAACTTATTAGCAGAGATGAGTGATTTTGCCTGCTCAGTGTTCAAATACTTGCTACACACTGTGGGAGAAGAGGATAAAAGTAATTATCAATTTTGTTAGGATAGAACAGGAGTTCCTCACCAAGGCCTTGCCTGTGAAGCTCATTGGGATGAACTGCTCTTTGATGAAGTAGTGCATTGAGTTTGTGGCAGACAGGCTTATGCTGAAACTGGGCTCTAGTGAGATTTTCAGAGTAGAAAACCCACTTGACATTATGGAGAATATTTCACTGGAAGGGAAGACTAACTTCTTTGAGAAGAGAGTAGTTGAGTATCAGAAGATTGGAGAGTAGTTGAGTATCAGAAGATTGGAGAATTCTCTTACCTTGGATGCTGATTTCTAAACGAACAAATGTGCTCTTATTTTGTTGATTTTTTTTTTCTCCCTTGCCACCCCCCTCAGAAAAAATCAGCTAAAATGAATCAACCAGCTACACCATTGTCCTTAAGGTTTATTAACAACATCTATAAAACTGTGTAGCTATCAGAATCAATCCTGTTTATTAATAAGCTAGTGGTGTTACTTAGAAAGAAAGGACATTTGAAACAGGCTACTTGAATTCTTATGGAAGATCTTGTCCTTTTCAGCTTTTGAAAGCAGGCTGTCCAGCTTCACCACAGCACTAATGGTGGTGATCCAGGTTTTAAAGAAAGGAAACCCTCAAGTAAGTTTGACCCAGCAAGATGAAAGATCACTTATGACCATAAAGCAGTTGAGATGTCAGTCTCTGCTGAGAGCCATTGCCAAGTAGGAATGACGCATGGCAATTTCTTTGTCAGCCTACCCCATGTTGCTTAGAGGAAGGACTCTCCATTGTGGAAATGGGCTTGCCTTTGGACCCAGGTCATTTGCAGTGACATTGCATGTATGTTTGAGTAAGGTGACCCTGCTCAAGGACCAGGGTGGATCCAGGTTTAGGGAGGATCCTGCTGGATTAGGGTGGGTCCAGGTTTAGGGTGTATCCTGCTGGGAATAGGGAGTATCCTGCTTCCTCAAGCGCCCGCCCGCTCCTTGAGTTCCCGTTGAGTTCTTGCGGGATTCAGAGAGTATTTTGGGATGCAGAGCCCAGTGGAAGTGTGGATTTGCCCCAGAACGTGCATGTAGAGTGCAGGTGTGAGTTCGGGAATAAAGAATTGCTGTTTGAATCTACAAGGCTGTGAGTGGCTCGTGATTTTGTGCCCAGCCAGACTGCGGCAAGTCTCACTGCTATGAAGCAGACTTTAAAGTTTATTTAAATAGTTTATAAATAAACTGGCACTTTA